TCAAATTGAATCAGAGTTATAATGTTTATTTCACGTTCAATTACTGCTTCCAAGCAGTTCACGTTCAAGTGTGTGGTGAGGATGTTAAACCCCTAGTAACCAATCTATCACCATAAAATTCCTGAAAATATCTTCCTGAAGATAGTTTCTGCTGTAGTATGTGCTCTAGCTCGGAAAAAATTGGGCCTATTATACATCTTCTTGAAACTGCTACTGATACCAATCTTCTGAAGATGTAACGTTTTTTTCAATAAAATTGTGCGGATTTTCTGTGTAAGATTTTTGGTTAGCCAAAACTACTATCATAAAAATAATTTTTGACTGATCCTGTTGACGACAGGATTTATTTAATTATTTTTTTTTAATTTCTCTGCAGATGAGAAAATATCCAATAAATAAAGGCAAAAATGTGTATCACTATAAACTAAAAAAAGTTAAGATACTAACAACAGTGTCCACAACAAGCTTACGTTAAGGCAGGTTTACACGCTACAATAAATGCTAGCAATTTATCGTAACAATCGAATCGTTACGATTTATCGTTGGGTGTAAATAGGAAATTGTAGCGATTTATTGGAATGGGAGTTGGGTTGGATGGTTGATGCCGGCCGGGATCAATTTCTGCGAATCGTAACGACATGTTTGAACGTGTAAACAAGTAGCCGGCATTTCTCGATACAATTTCACTCAGTTTGCATTTGCAATTCATCAGATATAGTCCGGTGATTGTTTTTGGCTGACCTTAACAACTCAATATAAGTCTCTTCGTCCATTCTCAAATAATTTCGCCAGTCATTCGGTTCATTTCTCAATTCTTTCATTAACTTCACATGAGAGAATTATCTTCTCTTTAGTAATCACTCGCGGCTCCACTTTGTTATCTGTTTTTGCACTTTTTTCACTTTTCTCGCTAAACAACCGATGTACAACGACAACAACACTACTTCCTCCATGGCAAAAGTTTTTTTGAGGTCGATAGTTGTTAACAACGAAATATGGAAGGAAATCGTTCCGATTTATCGTTAACGTGGAAACAGTACTCCACTCTTTCGATTTATTGCAGCAATAAATTTGTCACACATCGTTACGATTTCTCGTAGCGTGTAAACCGGCCTTTAGTAATCAAATTAATACCAACCCACCGAAAACTTAAACCAGGACAAAAGCATTTATTAAAAAAAAGAAAATTGTTACCTGAACTTTCGTAAGAATAATAAACGAAAAAAAAATAATAAATGCGAGAGCAGGACTGACGGAGGGTTGATTTGGGGGGTTGAAAAGTTTTGAAAAATTGTATTATTGGGATTTCTGGCGAAAGTTGACCTCAAACTAAAAAGTATCCAACTTTTATAAAGGTCACTTTTTAAGATAACCTCAAAATTTCCGAGAAAATTGCGAAAAACAGTTTTTTTTCTTATTTTTCGTTTTTTATTTCTCATTTCCACAAAAATAATTTAATTTTGACGAAACTTGGTGAAAGTATACCTTTCTATGTCTTAAATAATCACACATTTTTTTAGATAAAATATATTCATTTTTTTCGGTCTGAAACACTTTTTTTCAAAAAAAAATTCTACTTAGAAAAATCATCGTACAGAGTTCTGCCGGTGATCATTTTTTCGTTTTGACATATACTTTTTGGTGAAATAAATAAATCTTTAATAACAGTTCAAAAACATGCTCAAAAATGCGAAAAAATAAAAAAATGACTTGCAACAATGAATTTTTCAGAAGGTACCTAATTAATAATTTGTTTAAATTAAAAAAAATCAAAAACTGATTACATCGTCAATTCTACGGAAAAAATACAAAAAATAAAGTTGTGGGTCAAACAATGAGACAGGTTTTTTTGTATTTTTTCCATAGAATCGAATGGTGTAATCAGTTTTTGATTTTTTTTTAATTTAAACAAATTATCAACGATTCATTGACATTCACGAAATTCATTGTTACAAGTCATTTTTATATCTTTTTTGCATTTTTTAGCACGTTTTTCAACTGTGATTACACATTTTATTATCTCACCAAAAAGTATGTCAAAACGAAAAAAATTATTATTCAGACCGGAAAAAATTAATATCTCGGAAACTTTTTGATCTTATCTAAAAAAAATTATGGTTATTTAAGACAGAAAGGTATACTTTCACCAAGCTTCGTCAAAATTAAATTATTTTGCAGAAATGAGAAAAAAAAACGAAAAATCAGAAAACAACATATTTTTCGCATTTTTCTCGGAAATTTTGAGGTTATCTTAAAAAATGACCGCTACAAAATTTGTAGATTTTTGCATGATCTACAACTTTTGTATTGGATACTTTTTCGTTTGACGTCAACTTTCGCCAGAAATTCCAATGATACAATTTTTCACAACTTTTCAACCCCCAAATCAACCATCCACCTCACGCATTTATTTTTTTAGGTTTACTATAAGCCTTTTTACCATTTCCACTTATAAAAGTCCAGGTAAAATATAATTCTCCAAGTGTAATTTGGTTGGACTATTAGAAACGACAGCAAGCACGAGTTGATGGAATGCATGATTTATTAATTACAGTCCCGACGGCGGCGTCAGAATGTTATTAACTATGAGTATCTCTGCCATTACGACACTTTTATTAGATTTTGTGAAATATATTATTTTGGTATCTACAATCCATAACTTTGAAACATTTTGAATATTAACTGTGATTCCTAAGGCGCATTGTCTTCAAGTACTTATTACAAGAAAAGATTTTGTTGAATGTTTGTAAAAGGTTAGAAAANTCAGAATGTCGAGAACTAACACATATCACAATTCCAGCCAAATCTAGCGGGACCCAATTTCCATTCATTTTGTGTGGGGTCCTTTACGCCACGTTTCATGCACTCAAAAACGCGTTCAAATTGAATCAGAGTTATAATGTTTATTTCACGTTCAATTACTACTTCCAAGCAGTTCACGTTCAAGTGTGTGGTGAGGATGTTAAACCTCTAGTAACCAATCTATCACCATAAAATTCCTGAAAATATCACCCTGAAGATAGCTGCTGCTGCAGTATGTGCTGTAGCTCGGAAAAAATGGGCCTATTATACATCTTCTTGAAACTGCTACTGATACCAATCTTCTGAAGATGTAACGTTTTTTCAACAAATTTGTGGGGATTTTCTGTGTTAGTTTTTGGTTAGGCAAAACTATTATCATAAAAATAATTTTTGACTGATCCTTTTGACGACAGGGTTTATTTTATAATTTTTTAAATTTCTCTGCAGGTGACAAAATATCCAATACTTAAATAAATAATGGCAAAAATGTGTATCACTATTAACTAAAAAAAGTTAAAATGCTAACAACAGTGTCCACAACAAGCTTACGCTAGTACTCAAATTAATACCAACCCACCGAAAACTTAAACCAGGACAAAAGCATTTATTAAAAAAAAAGAAAATTGTTACCTGGACTTCGTACCTCGTAAGTATAATAAACGAAAAAAAAAATAAATGCGTGAGCAGGAATGGCGGAGGGTTGATTTGGGGGATTGAAAAGTTGTGAAAAAATGTATCATTGGGATTTCTGGCGAAAGTTGACGTCAAACAAAAAAGTATCCAACTTTTATAAAGGCCACTTTTTGAGATAACCTCAAAATTTCCGAGAAAATTGCGAAAACAGGTTTTTTCCGATTTTTCGTTTTTTATTTCTCATTTCCGAAAAAATAGTTTAATTTTGACGAAACTTGGGGTGAAAGTATACCTTTTTATGTCTTAAATAACCACAAATTTTTTTAGATAAAAATATTCATTTTTTTCGGTCTAAAACACTTTTTTTCAAAGAAAAATTCTACTTAGAAAAATCATCGTACAGAGTTCTTTTGACATAATATACTTTTTGATGAAATAAATACTGCAATAACAGTTCAAAAACATGCTCAAAAATGCGAAAAAAAAATGACAACAATGAATTGATTACACCATTCAATTCTACGGAAAAAATACAATAAATAAAGTATTGGGTCAAACAATGAGAGGTTTTTTTTTATTTTTTCCGTAGAATTGAATGGTGTAATCAGTTTTAGAATTTTTTTAATTTAAACAAATTATCAACGATTACTAAAAAATTCATTGTTACGTCATTTTTATATCTTTTTGCATTTTTGAGCACGTTTTTGAATTGTGATTACAGATTTTTCTATTTCACCAAAAAATATATGGCAAAACGAAAAAAATTATTACCGGCAGAACTCTGTGCAATGATTTTTCTAAGTAGAATTTTTCTTTGAAAAAAAAAGTGTTTCAGACTGGAAAAAATTAATATCTCGGAAACTTATTGATTTTTTTATCTAAAACAATTTATGGTTATTTAAGACATAGAAAGGTATACTTTCACCAAGTTTCGTCAAAATTAAATTATTTTTGCGGAAATGAGAAATAAAAAACGAAAAATCAGAGAACAACCGGTTTTTCGCATTTTTCTCGGAAATTTTGAGGTTATCTTAAAAAATAACCTCTACAAAATTTGTAGATTTTTACATGATCTACAACTTTTGTATTGGATACTTTTTTGTTTGACGTCAACTTTCGCCAGGAATCCCAATGATACAATTTTTCACAACTTTTCAACCACCCAAATCAACCCTCCACCACCCTCACGCATTTATTTTTTTTAGGTTTATTATAAGCCTTTTTACCATTTCCACTAATAAAAGTCCAGGTAACAATTTTATTTTTCCTCAAGTGTAATTTGGTTGGACTATTAGAAACGACAGCAAGCACCAGTTGATGGAATGCATGATTTATTAATTACAGACCCGACGACGGCGTGAGAATGTTATTAACTTCAAATGAGTGTCTCTGCCATTACGGCACTTTTATTAGATTTTGTGAAATATATTATTTTGGTATCTACAATCCATAACATTCAAACAATTTGAATATATACTGTGATTCTTAAGGCGCATTGTCTTCAAGTACTTATTACAAGAAAAGATTTTGTTGAATGTTTGTAAAAGGTTAGAAAACCAAGTACAGATTTGTTAATGCATTTAATTGTATAACATGGCACTCCAATTAGAAGGTAACTTCTACATATTTACAATTCCGGCAATCCGCCGAAAATTGCAAGCAATCGTATAGATTTGACATCACGATTAATCTTGAAGAATCCCTCTTCGCCCCACTCAGTGTTAAAGGAGTTAGCTCCTAGCCAGTAAGGAGTGTCGTTCTCCACACCCCAGCCTATCACTTTGACAAAATGAAGTACTACAGGATATGCGTCTGATGGTGGCTCGTAAACACCTGAAACAAACGAATAATTACAATTACATCAGTGTAATTATGACGTGCTTTGAATTAAAAACTACTACTACATTAAAATAACCTATTCTTTTTTAATATAAATTCCATAGCCTGGTTTCAATTTGAGTTGTTGTCGGGGAAGTATCATAATGGACACCATTTCTCAGTTGTCTTACGAGTTTCCCAGATTTGTTGAAGAAATCAATAAGAATGTTAAAGATATGTTAATGTTTCCAGAGTCCAGGGACATATCGTTCAGAAGAGAGTGGAGGTTCAATCCTCTGGTTGGGATTTATATTTGCTCAGTGCATGACTTGTAGGTAGACTTGTGTGGGAATGTTTACAAATACTGACTGAACTGGCTACCACTAATACAATACAATTAGACAAAGGCATTAATGGGAACGAGAAAACGGATGAACTTGCTGGTAAGGGATTCGAAACAGAGTTCATTGACCCGGAGCACTTCTGCGGTACATCTCCCTGTGTGGTCAGGGGGGCTCTGAGCAAATGGACTAGGACAGAACACAGGAAATACTGGACTTGAAGGACAGGGCAAAGCCATTGTAAGGAGTATCCTTTGAAGGAAAGAACAAATTCGTCTCAGGAGACTGACGGGACTTATAACGGAACACTATCACCTTAGGAAACACCTACATGGACTAAAGCTCGTTGAGAGTCCTTTGCATATCCTGGGTGAGTGACTAGGATTTGCACGTAGTAGAATGACGTTCCTGGGAAGACCCTATCTGGAACCTAATCTGGAGCTGAGCGAAGTGTCGGCAACGAAGCTTTTGGACTTTGTTATAAGGACAAAACTAGGTGCTTAATAGGATTGTGTAGTGGGACGCACAATAGTCCCGATAAGTCCGCGGAGCTATATGACTTGATCAGAACTAACCACTAGGAAAGGAAGAAGAACATAAAATGTGTTCGGTACTCACCACTTTTGTAGTTGAAAAAATCACGGTACAATACAATTAGCGCTTGCACCGGCCCATTGGTCATGATTTCCTGTTGTACTTGAGCATCTTCAAGACCAAGTGCGTAAACGCTGCCGTTCTTACCAAAGGTAAGCTCACTTTCATAATTAAGTGAACTAGAGTCACACTGCTTGACGCAAGTTGGTATGTCGTCTACAACTACGCAAGCTGCTTTTTCGGAATCTTCGAAGTAGTAACCATTGCAAGGTTCATAAGCATAAGCTTTGCAGCCCTGTAATCAGATTAAGGCATTTGCATTATCGTCGGTTAGATTACAGGTATATGCCAATCAATNACGCAAGTTGGTATGTCGTCTACAACTACGCAAGCTGCTTTTTCGGAATCTTCGAAGTAGTAACCATTGCAAGGTTCATAAGCATAAGCTTTGCAGCCCTGTAATCAGATTAAGGCATTTGCATTATCGTCGGTTAGATTACAGGTATATGCCAATCAATAGAGGTTTTGTTTGTGAGAAAAATACTAGTGGCAAACGGACTGTGCCATCATATAAAAGACAGTCTATAGATATATGCTTATATGTTTCCTACTCCAATTTACCATTGATTAATTTTTTATAAACATTTTTATACAAAAATGCATTTTTTTAAATTTTTTGCTTATAAAACCTAAACGGAACATTCTGAATGCTATAAAGAGACAATTTGTAGATAATCGAAATACGAATAAAACGAGAGGTCGATCGATCCGACAGGATAATTAAAAACGAAGCAAAACCCGGAAAAATCAGAAAATTCTTAAAAAATGGCGGAGTAATGAATTTAAAAAAAAACCTAAATTTTTTCGGGCTTTCTTCGTTTCTAATTATCCCATCGGGTCAATCAACCTCTCGTTTTATTCCTATTTCGATTCTCTACAAATTATCTCTTCATAGCTTTGTTAGGTCAGATTTTATATACAAAAAACTAAAAAAATTCGTTTTTTGTATACAAAATTAATTAATCGTAAATTGGAGTAGGAAACATTTAAGCATATATCTACAGACTGTCTCTTATATGATGGCACAGACCGTTTTCTGCTAGTATTTTTGTCACAAACAAAACCTGTATTGATTGGCCTAATACAAATAACTTTAATTCTGTGTAAAAAAACATTCCTCATCCTAGCGGTATTCATGACGTAGAGTAGCGAAGAATTCTTTCAGTGACAAGTTAGAGTTCTTTTACATGCGTAGATTTCTGATATTACAGAACATTGACTTTATTTGATCAAATTTAAAAAATAATTATTTGTCTGAATATATTTCCGTGACGTGTCATAGACGATAAATCTAAGAATAACTAATTTGCGAAGAAATGAGGTAAAATTGTTTTTATCATTATTATTCACCAGTCATTCTTCTTCTTCTTTCAGCTAAATATATTTCTAAACAGTTACTCAAGTAAACTACTTTCCAAAGTTCCTGCTACCTGAATCATTGCGTCATCTATACCGCTATAAAAGTAATATTATTTTACTCAGAGTTGAAGCTATTTACATACACTACACAACATCTTTTACATAACCTAGATACCTCTGTTGATTTTCGAGATATTGGGCTAAGAAGGTTTAAAAGGAATTTCTTGCCTAACTCACATCTGTGTCTCCGTATGCTCCACCGGTGGCAATGCCATTTTTTACCCAGTGATCCCAAGCATTCTCCGGGTATCCTCCATGGCAGCCGATGCTGCAACCTTCACAACAATCTAATAAGTCTTCCGCTGAGACTTTTACTTTCTTTTCGCCTTTAGAGTGGATACAGATCCTGTCAGACATAACTGAAACAGCTGAAAGAGCCTACAAACAGAACAAGTTGTTAATTCTAGATCTGATGGATGGGTAAGTGTATTAACAAATCGATAAGTAATACACTGATCAGTTGATATTTACCCAAGGGGCCCAGCAAGTCCCTTGATCGCTGATATCTCCAATGGATGGACAGTCAGGCCATTGCTCACGAGCATCGAAAGACTCTGGAATGGTGTCTTCCAGACTCACGTCGTGTACTTTGGTAGGCAGCGTCTGCATTGGTCTCATAAAGGCTTGGAGTTGGTCCATGGGCGTGCTGGCAAGAAAGGGAGTCAAATATGGAACTTCTGCATTGGGTAGAGCGTGAGAGGCAACTACCAGAGCAAAGCAGAGAATGATCTTCATGTTGACCTGGAAGGAATATTTGGTTGTAATCAAAATGATATGGTTAGAAAGGTATGAGAAAATTGTTAAACTGAAAACTTTGGTTCGCGCAAGTCGACTTGGAATTTTCTTTCGTACACTATGACGCGTCCAAAATGTCACGTAGCAAGAATAAATTATCCTATATATTAAATACTCGTATCTGATACAGCACATGGCAAGAGGGCCAAGGAAGTAAGGAAATCATAAGTTTTGAGTATGTCAATGAGTTGAAAATTTCAAAAAGTATAATTTCATCAGCAAGAACTAGTACCACCTCAGGATCAATCAGGAATGCAGATCAAAATAGTTTTTAAGAAGAACACAGCTACACAGAAAAAAAAGTTGGGTATACTTTTTATGCCACCTATATTTTTCGTAGTAATTTGGCCACCTGAACACGAATCAGGGGTCAGAATTGGCCCATCACGTCACAATTTTTTCCTAACCTCAAAAAACTTGTGAAAAATAGTGAAAATTGATGAAAATTTACTGGGAAAATTTGGAAAAAAATTTATTTCCACATCAAATAGTACATTTTTATGTAAAAGACTCTGCTGAATTCAAATCCACTGTCAGAATTGAGCTAGAACGTGTGGTTTTTTTTCTAACCTCAAAAAACCGAGCAGGAATCGCTATTTTCAAATTCTGAGCGGATTTTGACCAGATTTTGTATAAAGGGGTTTTTTGGGTCGCTGATTACGAATATGAATTCACATTGTAAAAATTCAAGATGGCTGATCCAATATGGCGGGTGTACTTTTTTGAAATCCACCGATTTCAGTAAAATTTGGCATCATAAGGATTGCTGGTTGATCTCACCTTCATTAATCACACATCTGGAGCCAGATTTTCATAAATCAAGGTAAAAGATTCCACTCCGTCTAAAAATGTGACTTCGCTTAAAAAAATGACTTAAGGACTCTACACATGTAATGATGTGTAGTGTGATGTGCTTGTTTCCATGGGACAAGACAAAAAAGTTTCTACTTTATTCTTTCATTTATTTAGTCGTGCATGGGCTTATGGTTTTCCAATCAGATTTTTTTAACTACTATGCAGTTTTCCTATGGCATTTAGATGCTTTTATTTCTTAATAATTTTAAAGTTCAAGGAAAAGGACACATTACTGCCACACAGCACATCACTGCATCTGCTTATGCCTTCAATCTAAAAATGTGACTTTGCCGAAAAAATGCCGCCTACTCGGCCTAAAATTATGACTCTGCCTACAAATTTTACCTTGATTTATGAAAATCTGGCTCCAGATGTGTGATTAATGAAGGTGAGATCAACCAGCAATCCTTATGATGCCAAATTTTACTGAAATCGGTGGATTTCAAAAAAGTACACCCGCCATATTGGATCAGCCATCTTGAATTTTTACAATGTGAATTCATATTGGTAATCAGCGACCCAATAAACCCCTTTATACAAAATCAAAAACCACACGTTCTAGCTCAATTCTGACAGTGGATTTGAATTCAGCAGTCTTTTAAATAAAAATGTACTATTTGATGTGGAAATAAATTTTTTTCAAAATTTTCCCAGTAAATTTTCATCAATTTTCACTATTTTTCACAAGTTTTTTGAGATAAGGAAAAAATTGTGACGTGATGGGCCAATTCTGACCCCAGATTCGTGTTCAGAAGGCCAAATTACTACGAAAAATATATGTCGCATAAAAAGTATACCCAAACTTTTTTTTTCTGTGTGGCTGTGGAATTAGTAAAATTGAATAAATGTCGTGTTGTTAACTTTTCAAATTTGATTATGTAATATATATTTTTAATATGTATATACAACAAGATTCTATTTAAACTAAACTTCACTATATTGTTAAATTTTCAAATACTTGAAATATTTTGTTTGAATTGGACCAATCCGTCCCTATCAAAAGTCTATCATTCCATAACTTTCTAACATAATGTGACATATCCGCATTTTCAACATTAAAAGCAGACTCCTTATTCCCTATTAATAAATAGTCTTTAAATCAATTTTCATTCAGATGAAAAATATGTTTTATTGTCGATGTAAATTCGAATATAAACACAAACAAGAATTTTTAAGAGTAAATCAAATATACCTATGGTCTGACACAAGAACAAAATCTTGACGAAGTGGAGTATGAATCAGATTATTCTATTATATTTGTGCATCCTTTTCTTTTTTTTTTTTTTTTCAAGTAAATATGTAAACTAACCAAGTGCTGTTTATTATAATAAGCTGCAGAGGATATGTCACGGAAATAGAAAAAAAACAAATTTTTTAAAAATATTTCAAGTAACAATGTGATTTTTAGTGCAAATTCTTCGATTGAAAGTGGTCTGAAAAGGACTCCTATCAATAAAACTTAGAAATGTTGAAATAAAAAGTCGGTTTGAATTTCAATAAACCATTGCTAGATCAATTTTTTAAGTACAGCATATTTCCTAACCTTTTTCTATATGTATTTGTTACTGATTTGTACTACTTACAACAGGTAAGAGTCACTTGCGTATCACTAGTTCCCCCAGTTTCTGGAAACTTACTGATTTTATTTTAGCATAGAGTACTTTTATATATAATTTTTGTTGTGACGTCAACTTTTCTAGTAGAATCTAGAGTACTTTGATAAATAAATAGAAAAACTTTCATTGTATGCATTCAAATATAAAATAGCATAAGATAATTCATAGCTCAAGTGTATTAATACTTAACAGATACAATACAGGACCTAAAAACATTATCATCTGCCCAAAAAGTATTAATTGATTCTATTACATATCCATTTAAAGGATAGAGGCTTGAGTGTTAAGTGTTCTTTTTGAAGATATCTACAGTCTGTAAAAAATTTGAAATGTGTAGGTATAACTATAGAGATATGAAGCCACTTGAGAGATTAGTAACCTATTATATTTGTTAGGTGATATAATCACACTTAAAGCAAATAAAGATCTGATAATACAGTGCATTCATAAATGTCCGAGTCCCACGTGACCACTACCGTTAGGAAACAAACTTACAAAGGAGTCAGTGATTAACACAAAATTCCCTAAAGACAGAAAATGAGTTCTGTAGAGTACATATTACAAATTCTTTACAAACATTGAACTTTAATTTACAAAATGGGATATAGTCGGTAACTAGAGAAAACTTTTATGTTAACGTACTATTCACGGTACGTCTGTAATGACAATAATAATACGTGGGTTGGTTTAATAACAAACCCTACTCATTAATGTTTGTGAAAAGGAAAAATAGTTTATTCCACTAGGTGGTATTTATCGTTGTTACATCAAAGGCTCTGCAGTTTTTTTCTTCACCAATGTCTCGGGCTCCCGCCGTGTAGAATTTTCCTAGTGGAGGTATTTTTTCCTCGAACGGGAGCGGCTCCGACATTATGACACTTTTATTGGAGTTACTGTGAAATATAATATTTTGGTATTAGCTTTAATTCCTTTAAATTTAAAGTCCCACCTTTGAAAATAGCCTGTATCTACAATCCACATGTTGTTTGTCTGGTCTTCAGGTATTTTTTATTACAAGAAAAGATTTTGTTGAATGTTTGTAAAAGGTTAGAAAAATGTTGACATATTTTTGAGTTTCTATCAGTATATTGACATATACTGATAGAAACTTTAATGCAGTCAACAAATCCAGAGGTGGAGGTGTACTTCTCGCCATTAATAAAAAATTTAATGCGTGTCGGTTTAACTTACATGACATTAATCCGGGATTTAATAGTATTCCCAATATCGATGTAGTCGCAGCGAAAACAGGCACCTTTGCATATTTACTATTTATATTCCACCTTATGCACCATGCGAGGACTACGAATGTCTGTTTGATAGTCTTGAATCTCTCAATGAACTTTTTGGGTCATGCATTCTTATCATAGGAGATTTTAATATCCCGAACTATAATTTAGACGCATCCACCCGGTGTATAAATCTTTTGCGACAGTTTGTTAATTATTATGATCTTGAACAATACAACCGAGTAACCAAACATAATGATAGACTCTTGGATCTTGTTTTTAGTACTGACCCTTGTTCCGTACGCAAGTCCTCCGAGCCGTTATTACCTATTGACCCTCATCATCCGGCTCTATGTATAGACACTTGCATGTTTTTCCTATATTAGACTCTCCATCTTTAAATTTTAAAAAGGCAAACTATCACGGTTTATATAGTGAACTCAATGCTATTGATTGGTCACTACCAACAGGCGTATCCGTTAACACTGTTCTTCAACACTTTTATGACAAAATAAATTATGCTTTTACGAAACATATTCCCACGAAAACACCTGCAATGTTTTTCGCCCTGGTTTAACACAGAAATAATAAACCTCTTAAAAATCAAAAACCGAGCTTGGAAAGTTTACAAAAAATCAAAACTGCAGGTTGATTACGATCATTTTAAAAGTCTTCGAACACAGTTTAAATGTTCTGTAAAAATTGCTTATAATAATTATATTCAGGAGGCTGAAAGTTCCATACAAAATGATATCAAAAAATTTTGGAATTTCATTAATTCAAAGCAAAACTCTACTTGTATATCATCCTGCATGAATTATGATAATTCCAAACTTGACAATCCCCAGGACATTGTGAACGCTTTTGCCCACTATTTTAGTAACTCTTTTATTGCATCTTCGAATTATGAACCCGATGTTATACATCACATTAATAATAACGCTATTCCCGCTATTACATCTTTTACTGAAGACAGCATTAGAAAATCGATAAGAAAGATGAAAGCAAATATGACAACCGGACCGGATAATGTGCCTGCGTTTATTATAAGAGACTGTGCTACCGTCTTTTGTAAACCACTTTTAAAAATATTCAACCTTATTCTTAAGCACAATACATTTCCTGACTTATGGAAGCAATCCCGAGTATGTCCTGTTTTTAAGAAAGGAAGTAAGCATGATGTTGAGAATTACCGACCTATTGCCATTTTATGCAACTTCTCCAAAATATTTGAAATATTAATTCATGAACACCTTTCCTTTTACACAAAGAACCTGATAATTCCCGAACAGCATGGATTCATGAAGGGCAGATCCACAGTGTCGAACCTTGTATGTAGCACCCAGTTTATTGCCGAAACGCTGGATAGGAGGGGTCAGGTGGACGTCATCTATACTGACTTCTCTAAGGCATTTGACAGGCTTGATCACGGTAAACTGTTGTGTAAGCTCGAAGCTTGCGGTGTCAGTAGATCCTTTCTCCAGCTGTTAAAATCATATATTTCCCACCGTGTTCAGTTTGTACGGTACCGTGGTCACAGTTCTGTGTTTTTTAATCAAACATCTGGTGTGCCGCAGGGCTCCATACTTGGACCTTTGCTTTTTAT